AAGCATCCTACATTCCAGAACATTCAAAGAGGACTCTCATTTTGCATCATATGCAATATGCTAGTAGTAGGCTATTGGCTAAGCTTCACATTACATCAGAAATTTCAGAAAAGTGCATACAAAAGCAGTAATTTTGTCATAAAGTCACAGGGGTTGTCACAGAGGGCAATGATGCACAGTGTGGGTGCACTAACATGGAATACAAACCCCTTTCTACCTCTGGATCTAGACTCTCTCCATGTGGTAAATAAAGCATGTAGACATGATTTACCACTTGCAAACATCAATATTTTTTAAAAAAGTTTTTCTTCCATGCAGAATAAGTACACTAATTTTCCCTCATTTGCTTTAGCAAATCCCCATTTTCATTTTATAGAACTCTGCTAAAAGGGAGATCACTTGGTGGTGCCTAAATTTTGATATACTTAGCAATTTAGCTAAAAACTGAAATTCCTCTAGGAGTAGTTCTAGACGTAAACATGATAGATGATATTTTTTCATGGTCATAATGAACTTGCTGTCTTTGCTGCAAATGAAAGCTAAAAGGACAGATTAATGTAGAGGAAATAAAGTAAAAAAGGAGAACAACTAGTGAACAGACAAAAAACAATAAAAAATGAGAAAAGCAGTACATTCCTAGGTAGTTTTTATCCAGAGGTGCTCTTTTTAGTGCAAGAGCAAATTGTTCATCCAATATTTCTTTTTTTCTGATGTGCATATTGAACATGGTATTATTGAAAAAAGGTGGAATGAAATTTATATGGTGTGACAGATGTAGCCAGTGGACTGCAATTCCTTTTTTATAAAACCCTATCTATAAGTGATGTCCTGAGCAGACTTTGTATTTTCTGATTTGAAATGAGTCATATAATTAGAATTTTATAATCACCATTTTACTCTGTATTTATTCAATATCTCCTTTCTCTTTCTACATGAATGTGTACCCACATAAATGTCTATATCTATAGCTGTACATAAAAGAAATATCTGGAAGGGCAGTTTTTTCAATAATAAGCTGACGTTGCACCCCAATCACACTGGTTGCCTGGGCGCTCTGATTCCCTTTGGCTTTTGGCGTGCACGTCAAGAGTGGCCGTGTCCCGACTCAGCCGCTGGCAGGCAGGATCACGGTTTGGCCACTGACTGGGATCCCAGACAACCAGGAGTGGCCAGTAAATGTGGATCCACATCTTAGGGTTGATGCAAAGGAAGAAGGATGGACTCTTTGCTTGTTTCTCCATGCTGCCTTTATTCTTTCCAGTGACGGGAGTGGCACCATGGCTACAGTGCCATGCGGGAGCAGGGCAGGTGATGCAGCGCCACGTGGGAGTGAGCAGGTGAGGGAGCAGCGCACCTCGAAGGGGGACGGTGGCAAAAGAGTGGCAATCAAAGAAAAACAGTGGCTTTTATGGAGGCAGTGTGGATTCCCAGTGTGGATTCCTGGTGTGGATTCCCAGTGTGGACTCGGTGCGGGAGGAGACTGTCTAACAAATCAAGGACTAGGTAGGAAGGGTCTGGGGGCACAAATGTAAACATAATACCAACAGAAAAGGGCACAGGAAAGGTGCATAGCAAAGACAGAAAAGAAATATCATAACTGACAGTGAAGCTTCTGGATAAATAGGTGTAGGAAATTATGACAGACAGGCTGCAGGGGCAGGATTTTTGATGATAGACAGGGAAGAATCTGGAATTATCATTAGTGGCATGGGGAAAAGGCAGGAAGACAGGTAAACAATTTTAGGGAGAGACTAAACAAATGATCTTCAAACCCTCTCTGCCACAATAAGCAATAACTAAAACCACACTAGTACTGTAAATTTTTTAATGCATTATATAAATAGATTGTTTTCCTATGAATGATCTTTAGAATTATACATTCCAAGAGTTTTGAATTAAACTGCCAATAGTATGACACTTCTACATGGCTTCACTGGCTGGAAAATCTGAGGAAGATATTAACTCTCTTCCTTTTACAAAGTCAAGTAACTAATTTTTTCATAAATACAAAATAAAAACCAAAAACCCAAGCACCAAAAAAAAACCCCAAAAAAACCAAAATCCTAAGAGAAATGCAAATTTGTGCAAGTTGGTTCATGAGTTAGTCATTATGTTTTTCAGGCACATTAAGGTTTCAATATTTTGCCCAGTCAATATACAGAACTTAATAAGAGGTTTTTGCATGGGTCAAGAGATTTTCATTAGTTATTAATGTATATTGGTGGGAGTATAAAAGGAATCCAGAATGCATCAAAACAGACTTACTCTGTCTCACTACTATAAAGTTTAGTCCCTTAGAAAATTTATGAATGTAATTTGACTAAAGCATAACTAAAGCATATTCAAGTACAAATGTTCCCATATGTAAAGAAGAGATAATGATGACTATAAATCAGTATTCAGAAAAAAAATCTTTTTGAGAGCAATGCAGTTAATAGTAAATAAAAATAGGTTCTTATTGACTACTATAAATTATTTATGTTCCTATATCTTTCTTCATTTCTTTTTAAGAGTTTCTGTATTTTTTTATATATCCCAAGTTTGTTGAAAAGGGAGCCAAGAGAATTGATGATGCATATATCTGCAGGGAAGCATAATAAGGATCTATTCTGGGGTACTGAGAGAAGTAGATATAATTACCTTAGGGAAAAATGTATCAAGCATGTACAAATCTGAACGTTGTTAGTTTGTGGATTTAGGATGTTTTTAATAAAAACCCCTATAAACTCGTTTTTCCTTAAAGAAAAAGAGAATCTAGATAGCACTGATATTTTGGCCAGAGTGGGGCGTAAACACAGGTGACAAGTACATTACCAAGTCTAGGCCACATGCCAAATGTAACTTCTTTTACCTTTTGACCAAAAAGTAGAAAGTGTTTCTTCTTAAGCATTTCTTAATTCTCAATGCTCCATCCAAAATATCTGCCGCTATCTCCCACATTGTACCTTGGGTCATCAGTATGAGTCCCTGAGTTCACAGGGTTTTGTACCTCCCCAGCCTCTTTGCAACATTGTCAAAAGGCACATCTGCATGTAAAAAAGAAACATCTTCAATTCATTTTCTTCTTTCATTGCCCACTCACAATGTAATTTTTTTTTTTATTTGATGCCTCTTGTAATAACAGAATACAAACAAGAAGCTTGAAAGACCAAGTAGAAAACTAGGAAGGATGAAATGCATGTGAGGCACTTTTGGGTGAACAGATGGAGAGCATGGTGACATAGACGGCAGCTGATGTAAGGCTGTGGTGTGAGATTTTGTATCCTCACCCCAGATGTTTCCCAATTGACTGCAGAAATATACCACATATACACTAGCTGTCTAACAGAGTTAGACAAATGGTACTAAAAACAACTTTCTGAGTTTTTTGAAGGTTTGCATGGGGATAAGACTGCTCCATTCTTTATTTTATGAGGGGTGAATTCAACAAAGTGCATGAAGCATTTCAAGAAGCATGTGTATCGCATCTGCCCACTCGCTCACAACATAGAAAGAAAATGTAAGGAAAAGGCTTATATTCAAAGATAGAAAAAATAAAAATTGCTTACTCACACCTTTAAATTTTCTACCTGTAATAAGATACAAAGATAAGGTCTATGAAAGTGTTACACATATTTTATGTGATTTAGGCTAGATCAGAAGATATATTGGATGACACAAAAAGTTCACAGGTGTGAGATCATTTTATCCTTTTCTCATTGCAATTTCTAATTTCTGATGCTAATTTTCTAACTCTCTTTTTTTATGGGCTGGCTTTTTTCTCTGCATGTCATGAACACTTCTAAGAGCTAATTTATATTTTCAGCATATGGAAAGCCTTGAAAAAGGGAAAGCATTTTAGCATGTAGTACTGCTGGTCCTTTCTTCAGATCAGGCATCCACATAAACAAGTGTTATATCTTTTTTCCCAAAGTAATATGTACTGTGTTCTTAAAATATAAGGTCTAGGAAATATATATTTACTGATGTCATAGCAATAGCATTCAGTTCATAGGTTAAAATAAATGGAAGCATGTGACAGAGAAAGCAGCAGAAAAAATAAATGAGAAACTACATTTTATGAATAATCTCTTTTATAAAATAGCCAATTTTCTCCTTGTTTCTGCCTTCTTCCTACATTTTGGAATTTGGTACTCATAAATAAACTTTGAATTGTTGTTTAAAAATTGAGAGTTAATCCCACACTATTTGAGCATTAAATAGGTCTCCAGCCTAGCTAGTTAGTATATGTTAACCTTACATGTTCAATAGTGCAAGGGTGGAGCACAACTATATTGCAGAAATTCTATATTTTCCAAAAATATAGATATACCAAAGTAAAAATCTGCAAAATGGCAAGTTGGTTTCCTAGGGTCTGTAAACCTTTTCAGAACATGCAAAGAAATTCTGAGTGAAATCTCAAAACATACCAGTATAATTACAGAAAATAAATTGTATAATCTGCCCAAACAGAAGTGGAAAATTGTGGTGCATTCTGTTTATTTTTTATTTTACTATGATATTATGTGGTGGCTTATTTAGAATAAAATAAAATAATGTGTTTCAAGCCAAGCCTAAATAGTCCACTCCATTTTGCAAAGCCAGGCTGATTGTTGGTGAATCTTTTAGGTGGGTAAGTCATCACAGCCAGGCGTCAGGAGTCAGGGCAGAGGTTTCTCTTCTTTTTAGTATGACAGTTTTTGGATGAAAAAGAAGAGACCCATGGCTGGCAATTTTATCTGAGTTTCACATGTCGGTGTTAGCTGTGCCTTCTGAATATGAATTGCCATAGGCAAGAAAACATCTTTTGAGTCTGCACTGAGAGCAGCAGTGTGGCACTGCACTCAGGCACCCGCTGCCCCAGCACAAGCTCCCTGCTGGAGAGCAGAGGCTGGCAGCAGGACACAGCCCATCCAGCTCAGCCTTTCACCACTACACAAGTCCTCCTGAGCCTTGCGAGCATTACACTAGGTCTCATACTGATAACAAAGGTTAAGGCAATAATCTCTTTCCCTTTGCAGATAAGGACTTGAAAACTGCCTTTGCAGTCTCTCTCTCTCCTGTGCCGCACAGAGACATTCCTTCAGCCTGCGATTTCTCTTGGTTTAAGCAGTATTTATCAAATGGAAACATATGTATACAGTGGGTAAGTAAATATTTGTCACATTTTGAAGAGGAGCTTGCTTCCCTTATGTTTTGTTGTTGTTGTTTTTCCTTAGCAGAAGTATTCTTAAAATATACATAGGAACAGAAACATGATAAAGGAGCTTAATCATTTTAGCTCCCCTTGAACAGTAAAACAAATGAATTCTTAATCATGTTGCTTTGTGCTTGCTTGTAGTCCCTACTGAGAGAAGGATGGAACAGCCTGAATTTAGACAATACTGTATTGTTCCCAACTACAGCTTTTATATACACTGAGTTTGTATAATATCTTTGGGAATAACTTAAAAAAATTAGGATAATTTTGTAAGTTTCCAAAGCCGAGTAAACTAGATCCCAACTAACTTGAACATACTTAATTTATTCTTTGCAAATCACCTGTGTTTGTAAAAAAAAAAAAAATTGGGGTGTTTTTTTGTGTGTGCTTTTGTCTTTTTATTTGCTCAGTTTATATTTCATTTGTATTTTTTGTTTTTATTGTTGATTTTGGTTCGTTTATTTTTTAACGTGTGTATGACTGTTTAAGAACTTTTCCCACAATTTGTGGTAACACTTGTGAGACTATGCTTTTACTCTTCTCTGACTTTCCCTCCAACATATTGATCTTTTTATTTCCACTATTGAACCATGGGTTATTTTTAGAACCTCATCACAAGCACCAAGTGTCAAGTGAAATAGAAGGAGTACACCAATTAAATATCAAACATCAATAATTTCGCCTATATAAACCTTAAATATGAGGGACCAGATCCTCATATCACATTATTTCAACAAAATAAGTGCCATTGAAATGAACTGTAGTGTTTCAAATAAATACCACATGCATAACTTAACAAGTGCAACCCCTGTTCCAATATTCACCTCAAATAATGGCCCAATTTTACTCATTAAATCTTGCAAATTTATCAGCAATCTATTGCTTTTTTGACACTTTATCTCTAATCCATCTTGCCCAAAATGTTATTCTGCTTTGTGAGGTTTGGGAAATCATACCCTGTGCACTTAGACATAAAATCAAGAGTAATTTGAAGGTACAGGCAAAGAGCCAGCCTAATTTAAGATGATGTATTATTTTCCCCAGACTGTGCATTTTAGTACACTCCTATATACTAAAATCAAACCCTAACTGACATTCTGCTTAAGACGAACTGAAGGAAATTATTATTCCTTTTGTGGAATTTATTTATTCATTGTGTTAGGGTGAAAAAAGGAAAGGAGCATCTAACTTTCTCTGGTACATTTTAAAAGTCAGGTAAGAGTCACATGTACTTAGTACCGATTTTTAGCTCATCAGTCAGTTTTGATTTAGTCAAAGATATAATTAGGTTAGCATTTACTTAAGACTGCAGGTGGGGGTATGTAACTGAATACAGAGAAGTTTCACAAAATTCTATATCAAATTATATAGCTAGTGATAAGTCTACTCTTACATTACTCCAATTCTGAATCATGACAAAAACAGAGACTGAACCTGAATAAAAAATATACAGTGAATAGAATTCTCTTCAATAAATCTAACCACACTCAGGAAAAAAAAAAAAAAGAAAAAAATAAACAGGAGAAGACATTTTAACATATTTTCAATTTTAATTGGCATTCAGAAAACTGATTTAAACTGCATCAATGAAATAACTCTTTTTCCATTATGTTCTCAGACTCCATGGAGAAGAGACACTATTGCCTTAATGATAAAGGCTCTTAAATGGAGAAAAGCTTATGTGAAAACAAATTTAGGTACCTTGACATTTTCATTACTTTGGACACACACACATGCAAAATTTACAAACCATTCTTAATTTGTTTGCCAAGATGTTTTTAGTAACAGCAGAATGAGTCAGACAGGAAATAAACTTCAGGAACCTATTATTTTAAGAAAAGTCTAACAGAGGAGGGCATATTGTTCTAGGTATATATTGCCATGTTTCTGAAACAGACATTGGAATAAAAACCACAAATTATTTCAGAATCTCACCACATACATTTGAGATGTGTCTTTCTATTTTAGCTTTCATTTCTATTCCAAGGTCTTTTTGACTGTTTTAATTTATTGATTTTCTATCTGTAGCTTCCAGTGAGTTGAGTCTTAAGTTAGAGGAGTCTTCAAGCCAGTATTCTCTATTGACTGAAAAATTAAGACAAATGTTATTTAGGTTCTGCAAAAGCCATTTATTCCTTCCTGATTGTACCAGCATTTTTAATGGCAACTCTTCCAATTTTGCCACAGCTCCTTCTACTTCTCCATTTTTTTGGGAATTCAATGTCACAGATTTTTCAATTAAAAGAAAAAAATAAACAAAAAACCAAAAGCACTGTAAAAGTTTGCCATGTTTTGGCCTTGTGTGGGTGGGTGATGTTTGTTTGGTTGGTTTTGATTGCTATGGTTTCATTTTTTTTAACTATGAGGGTGGTCAAACACTAGAACAGGTCACCCAGGACACAAAGGAGTCCTTATCCTTGGAATTAATAAACACTTGAGTGGACATGGCCTTGAATAAACTTCCCAAGAGGACCTTGCTCTCAGCATGGGGTGGGTCAAGACAAATTGTGGAGGTGCCTTCCAGCCTAAGCCATCCACAGATTCTGTGCTTCTGTATATGAATAAGGTATAATGGAATGTTAGACAATTCAAGAAAGTCGTAAAAGACAAGCTTGTAATTGGTGCAAGTGTAGCTTTCTGTCAGCAAACCAGCAGCAGAAACATAGAATATATTTTAACTTAAAGACAGGAGACCCTGCCCATAGACTGAGAAAATTAAAATAAAATTTATTGAGGTAAATTAACTAAACTTTTATGCCTCTCAATTATAATTTGAAAGGTTATTTACCAAAGAATATTTTCAATAAAGCATCAAAAGAGCTCTCTAGGTAAGTGCAAGAGTAGGTGATATCTGACTCTCAGAGTATAACCTCATCCACAACAACGTACAGCGTCTTCCACTGGAATGAAACACTGAGCATGACTAGCTATTCCCCCTTTCCACAGAGACCTCCATTCACTATTGTCAATTTGTTTTTATTAAGCAGGGAGGCATACTATTTACTGAGCTGGCCTGTTGCTCTGACTTGTTGCCAGATTCTCAGATTCTCATTCCCTTAACTTACCTCAGGGCACCAGCAGTTATGTCTCATTCTGCTCCTTATGCTGCTAAGCCATCCCATTCCCATCCCTTGGATTGTGTCACCTTACAATGAATTTTTTACTTTAGCTTATCAAAAGTAGCATAGAGAACTAATGCTTTAGTCACAGGAAATGTAACTGAATTCCTTTCTCGCTCAAGTAATAAAAGACAAAAAGGTAAATGCGCCTGTCCTGATGAATGTAGTTTCTCCCTTGTGTAAGCAGACATTTGATGTTAATTTGGCTTCCCTTGAAAGATTTTAAAGCTAATGTTCTTTTCCTCCTTCTTATTATATCATCAGTACTGTCTGGTTTTAAGATAAACCTGCAGCCTGGAAGCCCCAAAGGAACAGCAATATCCACAGTTCTGTGCAAACCAGAAATTAATAAGTCTATTGAATATATATATCAATAGTCTCTTAAATTTTCATATATATAGTGGGTAAGTCTTACATATTTAGAGGAGTGACAAATAAATGAGTGCCACAAAGGAATTCAGTGCTGGAGTCTGCCCCTAGTCTATTTCATGGTAGTTTCATGCAGATGTTACCACTCCATCATTTAATACTCTCTCAAAGACTGACATTACTCTCAAAATGGTACTTTTGTCCTCACCATATTTCTTGCTGACAATGCCTAAAATTGAACCCAATAGTCCTGCCATATGTGCTTCCTGCACTATCCTGGTTTTTTGCATTCTGACCCTCAATAGGAGTACATATGTCCTTTACAATGTCAGAGAATGTCTTCCCCACCCCAACTTTTAGAAAACTCTGCCTGTTTCTTAATATTCCGGACACATGAGTTTACTGTATATTTTAAGTTGATAAGCAATAGTTTTTATTTGCTCATTTCACATTTATTCAGCATTGATTCATCTTTTTACATGGAAGCACAAGAAGGATTGAAATAGAAAACGAGGCCATTACCCTATTTGAGAGAAAACCTTAAAATTCAAGTGCTAAATTCTAGCTTCTGTCTAGTCTTTACAGATTAAAAAAAAAAAAAAAAAAAACCCCAAACAAACAAAAAAACCCCCAACAAAACAAAAAGGCAATTCCTGGAGTGGTGATCCTATAAGGGGAAGTGGCTGTATAAAGAAAGACACCAGTGGAGTCTAAGATTATATGTATGGTCCAGATAAAAAAATAAAGAAGAAGAGCTTAGACAACACATATTCACACACATGATAAGTTTTCGAAATATAATAATGGAAAAGATATGAAGGTAAAATAGTTTGACAATTTTAACACAGTCAGGATTGCAAAAGGCTCACAAACCCAGTGTATTTTGAGTTATTTATCCACTTCCCTGTATTACAAAAACAAACAAACAAAAACCAAAACAAAATAAAACAAAATCAAACAAACAAAAAAAAAGTGGAGAGCTGCTTATAATTTCTACTAGCTAAGTGTCTGTGCTCATACCTTCTTTCTTAATCATATAATTGATTATTTTGCTGTCTTGGACTGCAAATAAGCTTACGAATTCACTCTTTTCTGTCAGCTACACTGTTGTATCCACTTCTCTTCTCTGAACTATACTTCTTGGTTTTACTTCAGTGAGTTATTAAAAGCTAAATTCTATGACTTTTTGATAAGGAAAGCTGAATAAATAGAGAACAGTATTTTAAATAGCTTCTTAGCATCATGGGTGATGGAAGGGTAATCTGATGATTCTTTCTTCACAGGGCATATCATTGATATAATGTGACATGTGTGAGCTTCCTAGGGCAAAAGGTTACTATTATTACTTTCATCATTATCATTACTGTTTACTGTGTTGAATTTTTAACTTCTCTTTGGTTTTAACATAAGCTTGGAAAATCTTATTCTCTAACCATTGTATTTAATTAGTCTCTAAAGCATAAACTTTCTTAACAATACAAAATTCTATTAACTTTCTAAGATACAAATAATTTGCTTTGTAAACAGTATAGGCAGAATTAAGTAAATATGCTAAAAGGACCCCAGCTGATTGCAAGGAGGAGAAGGATATCTCCTATCAAAAAGATAAGGACTCTTGTTTCTTGATATCTTAAAGCCAACCATGAAGTTTAAAGGGTGCTCCAAGGCCACTGAGACATATCAGTGTCCTAATCTCTCCAACATATCTGTGAAACCCTCCATGGACATCTTATTCAGTAACATGGACAGAGGGATTGAATGCAAGTTTAGTAAATTCACCAGCAACATCAAGCTGTCTGGTGGCATCAACATGCTGGAGGGAAGGGATCTCATCCTGAGGGCTTTACCCAAAAAAAGCCCCATTTTTTATGGTTATTTTTAAACCCAGATTCAATCAAGACAGAACCAATTAATCACAGGAAACCAATCAAACAAACCAACAAACAAAAAGACAAAAAACCCTGCAGGTTCTCATAAAACTCTTTCAAAGCATTAAGAACACCTTGCTGAAATTTCCATGCATAAGCAAAATGTTCGTTTTTCATATCTCTATATTTAATTACACTGTGATAATGGTGCAAAAAATTGGAGATAATAGCAGTACTTGCTGCAAGACAAATACAACATATTTCATTAAAAACAAAGTGCCCATTCTGCACAGGAAAATGCTTTTTGCTTAACATAGAGATTTAGTTGAAAAACCACTAGCAATTTATGACAATGATCATAAATAGGTCTAAAGTTGGCTTATGGACTCACTCATCAAAATGAGCAAGCTGCACCATGCACTTGCAAATCTCTTAATTTAAGATTTTGGATCTATCTCCCTTTTCCTCTTTCTTCTTTACTTTTTATCAGAACAGATCATGATATTTTATGGGATTTGTAAGTGGCACTCAGAGTAGGAATGGAATCCAAACATCCCCACATTCCTTTTTCTGCACCAAATGTACATCTATACCTAATATTAGATCTTCAACAATAACAATAGTATTACATCTATTTTAAATTCAGTGCTTGTTTGCTTATCTGTTTCTTCAGTTTATTTTTTTTTCATTTTGCATCTTTATTTTTCTATTCAGCCATTTTCTTGTCTACAATGTTTTTTTTCTTTAGCATTTTTTATGATCAATATCATAGTGTTTTGTGTTTTACTTCTTTTCATCATTTGGATTGCATGCTTTGGAACCTCTGAAATTATCTCTATGGCAATGGCAGCCTACTGTCACTGTATATAAAACACACTGACTGTTGCCTGGTATTTGTCTGAAGACTTTCACTATTTTGGAGCAGGTTGTAAGACCAGCTTTAGAGTACCAATAAAATGTGTTTATTTTTCTTTTAATTGCAATATATGTTTTTCCTCTCCAAACAGAATTGTTGAGTATAATTAAAATAAAGAGCAAATTCAAATCCAACTGAAAGCTCTTTTCTATTTTAGAATTATTAGCTGTTTCTTTGAAGAGAATGGCAGAAGAAAAAATATATATACTAAGATATGAAAAACAATGAACACATTATTAAAATTAAATCACCCACTTATCAGCCTACTTGGTATATTTATCCAATGCTTTTTATTTAAAAAGAAAAAGCAGAAAATCAACCAAACAGAAAACCAGAACAGGCTGATTCTATCAGACCTGGGTACAAAAATAACAAAATCTACTGCACCAAAAAATTGTGTTTAAAGTGTATAAACCAGAGGTCTTATATTTTTGAGAAGATCAGAAGACATTTGCAGCGCTGACCTCAGAAAATGAGAAGACTGTGGACAGGCAGCTCCTCCCAGAGAAGAACTGAAAAGGCTGTGGGGACAAGAATTTTTTTAGGGCATGTAGCAATTCACGGTTCAGGAAATGGATTTTTCTGACCAGTTTGACTGAACTGACAACTGTTCAAAACACTCTGCTCAGGTAGCCTTTCTTTATGCAACTTATCTTTTTTGGCAATTGAAAGAGAGAGAAACTGCTACTTTTGTGAAGCTCTTCATTCAGCATAAGGAGACAAGGACTGCTTGATGCCCCTTACAAGTACATTATTGAAATCTGAAATTTATAGATAACACGGAGGAAAAGCAACTACATTACTTTATTAACCTGACAGGGATTTTTCCCTTGACTGCAAAGAATGCAGGTTCTTACCAAGCCTGCCTGAAGGAGTTTGAAGAAGGGTACATGCTAAGGCCCTTTTCAGTGACTGTGACAAGTATTTGTAAAAGTGCAGTTTATTTTGTGTTTAAAGAAAATAGTTCACAGATCTCTGGAATATTATTAATGACATACATTTGCTATTAGGAGTTACTACAATTGAAGAATAAAATTTAGTTACGAACACATTGTTTCCCTTGTTGTAAGATTTTCATCATAATGCAAAATGTTACACTTCCACAATTAAATCCTACTTAAACTAGGACTTTTATATTTTAAGAAATAAAATAAAAACATCCTTCGTTTGAAGGAAAGCAAAAAAAACCAAAAAGTAAAACTGCCATAATATTTTGTATTTAATTCTGGTGGTTACTTACTATGATCATAAAAATTGCCTATAAATTTTAAATTTAGTCAAAATTTTTCTGACAGTAAAGCCAAACATGCATTACATGTTTAAATATTAAAATACATATCCTCTATTGTCCTTTTTTTTTTTCTGCGCAAGAACTTGTGGAAAAAGATCAGGCTACCCCTTGTCTTTCTCCTGGCTAATGTTACCTGTATGTTTTGGTGTTTCTGCCTGATATTAATGGGAAAGTAAGAGTTTAAACTGTAAAGAAACTGTAAAACCTCAAGAAAAGAAGACTTATCCTTATAGCAAAAAATTCTTTTACCTGCAGGGTTGGATAAGAAATCTTCACAAGTTTCAGGTCTTGAATGTGATTGAGATCCGACACCCTTCTGAGTAGGCAAAATAACTTGTTATTTCTCACATGCACTCTTTTATAAAGTACTAGTTTATATGAAATAAAAATAGATAATTTCAACCTGAATTATTGAAGAACAGCTAGTTAATGGGAAAGAGCTCATGAAGACTAATTAGGGAAATTAGGGTAAGCAATAGAATTCTGAATTCGTTATATAGCAGATCAGACCCTGAATTCATTGAGCGATTCAGGCCCACACAGCTGTTTGTTCACTTCCTCTCCCAGTGGGGGAAAGAATAAAAAAGGTAAAAAACTAGAAAATTCTTGGATTGAGATAAAGACAGTTTTATAAGTGAAGAAAAAGCCATGTACATAAGCAAAGCAAAACCAAGGAATTAATTCACCACTTCTCATTGTCAGGCAGGTGTTCAACCATCTCCAGTAAATCTGGGCTCCATAACGTGTAACAGAAGGTTGGGAGGACAAAAAGCACCACTCTGAACATGTCCCCGTTCCTCCTTCTTCCCACAGCCCTATCTGCTGATCATGTTGCTGTGTGGGGTGAGATACTCTGCTTAGTTGGGGTCTGCTGTCCCAGCTGTGTCCCCTCCCAGCTCCTTGTGTGAAGCCCCAGTGCTCTTATTCAGCGGTGTGAGGAGAAATGTAGAAAAGTCCTTGCAGCTGTGCAAGTGCTCTCAGCAGTAATCCTATTCCTGTTCACCAAGGGGCTCTCCCTGGGCTCATTTCCCTGTGTGTCCTTGCTGTGTTGGGGTGCCCAATGCTGCAGGCAGTATCTAGACTTGCTGAATGAGGAATGCTGCATTTCATTTAATGCATCCTGAGATGCTGTTGGTCACCTGCCCTGACAAAGCTCACTGATGGTTCATGTTCAGTCTCACATATGTTAGGGACCCCATGCACTTTTCAGCAAATCTGTGTCCCAGCTTGTCCATCATTTACCTGTCCCATGTATAGTTATATTTTATGAGTCCATAAATTGGTTATTGTGAGATAAAAGGGTGCTAAAGAATAACTTTTTTTGGTTGCTTCCCAAGGTGACAGTGCATCTTGCTAGATTTTGTCTGCTTTCTGATGTAGCTGTTTTGAACTTGGAATCTATCCTTGTGAGCACTAATCTGCAGCGCTTTTAATAGAGAGCTATAATTCATCATTTGGTCAGTTCTATTCAAAAGAAGTCTGTATAATAGAGTTTCTTTTTCTTTAATTAAAAAAATCAAAATTAAAGGCTAAGTGAATTCCAATAAACATAGAAAATAATGAATTAGACAGAAGTGTGTTTTGATCTAAGGCAAAATCCTTACAATATTGTCTTTCCCAGAAAATTTCTTCCTCCTGATTTACTGGTTCCTTTAAGTGACTTTGAGGATTGAGAGTTGTGATTAAGGAAGTTTTAATACACATTTTTATATTTACTGAGAGGGTTTATAAGTTATTTGCAGTTGCAATACTTGACCAAGTGCATTTGGTATTGGATTCCAAGTTTTAGGCAGTTTCCTCTTGTACCATGCTTTGGCTATTAATGATCTGCTTTTCCTGTTTGGCTGCTTTCTGAGATTTGACTTTCTTTTCTTATGCTAAGTAATGAAATAAGTTTTACTCTCACATAATTTCTGAAATAGTCTTTTGCATCTGCTGTACAGCACAGTTGTGTTTTTGGCAGGTTTTTTTGTATCATTGAACATAAATTACCCTGTGCTCTCCTCTAACTTCCTCTGTTGTGTCTTCCCAGAATATAAAATTCAATTGTTAGTGGTTTTTCTTTTATTTTTGAAAACCTTGCAACAATAGCACTTGTCCCTTTGTTGATTATCATATCACTGCCAACAACTTCAACATCTCAGGCTTTAAGCCATTGAAATATAGAGAAATATAGTTGCCATGTATACTGGAAGCACAGCAGTAGAGCACAAAGCCTTTGGAAAATGCAGACCTTGCAAAGGAATACATGTTAATTGACTGCATTTCTTTGAATCACAAACTGCATCGCCAATCCTTGCAAACTCATGGTAACTCGAAACTGCTGAACTATGGGATAAGAACTACATATTTTAAGCTTACCCCCAAAGCTATTGCATTTTCAACAAATGAAGAAGCTGATACTTTTTTTTTTTAACATGATTTGTTTAACATAAGTTAAAGATACAAAATATTATGCCACACTGCAGAGCACAGGAGGGTGCCTGAGGCTACCTCTCAGAAACAAGCCCTTCCTACTCCATAAATTTACCAATGCCAAAAGTTCACCCACAGGGCTGTCATCTGATTTGCCATCCATGGTACAGCATGTTAAAACTGAGGTAAGTTATTATGTGGGATACTTCTTCCCCACAGTTACTCACCCAGTATTTGCAATAGAGCAAACTCAACAGTGAGAGGCACTGCATTCTGCTGCAGATGCTGCTATTTTAGAGATACTCAGCACTATTTCAACCTACTTTAGCATTCACAACCAATCACTGCTATAATGTGATCTTTACATGATGCTTGTAGCACTCATATAACTTGTTAAGGTGCTATTTACAATCTAGGCACTCTTGTCAGATGACACCAGCATTTCCTAGCTGATAGACAAAGACTCATCACATCTGTAGTCCTAACATCCTTCCTTTTCCTCATTCCTTTAATCTTAAAAGATGTTTCCTCATCATAGAATAATTTGTCTGATTGCAGTACTCAGAGGATGAGTCCTATTCATCAGCTTCAATCCTCTTTAACAGAATTGTTAAGCCTCCAGTCGCATTTATAACTGGTATCCAGATTTAAGATGTTCAAACTGAAGTGCAGAGCCTATAAAGAAAAATGATCTGATAGCTGTACAAGTGGTACTTGTTAAAAACCTTGTCCCAGTTTTCCCATGTTATTGTTGATACTGATGCTCTGATTAATTTGCTTCATTTGACAGTTCATCAGCATTTGCTGAGCTCTTACCCTGCTTTTACATTAAGGCCTTTAAAACCCCATTGTAAAGATATTGAAAAAAAAATGTGACACCCAAATATCAGCCATTGGTCACATATGGGGAATTTCAAGTAAGGATTTGTCTGGGCCCCCTGGAAATTCTGAGTATATTAGCTTATTTGTTGACAGCTCTACTCACAAAAAGGGAAAGGAAGAACTGCTCCTGATTAAGTACTTAATTTCCTTTTCCACACTGAAGAGTCACTGACATAATAAAATTTATGGTTCTCTTCCCTTTAAGAATTAAGAGCCCTTGCTGCAGAAGTACTATCAACATGAGAAAGGAAGTTTACTACTCTCTTAGGTCTTTAATCCTAACAGTTGCTCACATAATCTGAACCAAACACAAGTATTACTGCAGAGAACAAGGGAGCTCTAGTGAATAATTGTGCACAGTGATGCCATCAATGAAATAAGCTTTGCAATTTTCCACAGAAGCCTATATTCCCTAAGAGCCAGTGGTCTCCTAGAGAACTATACCAATCCATCCCACCTAAAACTCTGCAAGGGCAGTTTTGAATTTTCTCTCTCAGAGTCACTTGACACTTTTGTCCCTGCTACTGAGATTCTACAACAGCTCCAAAACCACACTGTATAAAATTCTGACAGAAGAATTCTGACAGCTGGCTTCAGTTACTTAGCATGTGCTTAGCGTTCATGCAGGATGCTAACAGAGAGGCACAAAGGAGAGGGGTTTGAAAGGCAGAGACACAAGTGTGAAATGTGCTGGGGCAAATGATGATGCAGGAGATGCTGTGTTGTCCACTGCAGACACTGATGGCATATGCACTGACAGGCCCCTGCTCACACCCCAACAGTCCCTTTCATCCTCTTTTTATCTGCTGTTGTGTTTCACTTCTTGCTCTCCAAATTGTCTTGATGTCTCCCTTTTTTGCCTTCCATTCTGTACCCTGAACATCCACAATGACACAGGCTGCCCCCCTTTCTTACAAACACCACTGGTCTTTTGTACACAGCAGCACCATGCCACCACTTGCTTTTTTCTGGCATCTCAGTAAGCTCCCTTTTGAATGTTTTTCCTACACAAAGGCTCCCTGAGGAATGGGAGGGCTGAGCACCTACCTGGTCGTGGGGCTATGTCTGTGGGGCAGGGGGCAGCACCAGAGGGATCCACAGTTGCTGGGTGTAGGTGCATGTATGGGGTGTAATTTTGTGTGTGCATGTAGAAGTGGGCTGCTCCAGCAGATGGAGTGGAACTGCAGCTAGAGAAGTAACTGCAGTGGGAGTGGGGGTCAGCCTCTTCTCCCACCCAAGCAGGACAAAAGAACATAGCCTCAACCTGTGCCAGAGTAGGTTCAGGTTGGATGTCAGGAAGAATTTCTTCGCTGAAAGGATAGTCAGCCATTGGAATGAGCTCCCCAACAAAGTGGTGAAGTCACCATCCCAGAAGGAATTAAAAAAAAGACTGGACACGCCCCTTAGTGCTATGGTTAATTTGCATGATGGTGTTTGGTCAAAGGTAGGAATCAATGATCTTAAAGGTCTTTTCCAGCCTCAGTGATTTTATGATTCTACAGCTCTAAATGTGGCCAGAACGTCAATCCTGTAAAACAGAAGTGTAAGGGTAGTCAAATATAAAAAATAATATAATTGTGGTAGAATGAGAGCTGTGTCACTATGAAAGCATGGTGAAAGAATTGTCCTTCACTCACCAGTACTTTATTTTTTGGATGCTGAACGGTACTGTCAAGCATTAATTCCCAATATCATTGTCTCAGAGGAGCTCTGTACTGATTACAGAAACAGCAGTTTAAATGGCATAGGAAGGAGAGCCACACAAATAGTCCAAATGACTAGTTTAGGTCAGTTAAAGAATCCCCCACAAAGGTAGCAGCAAAAGCAGGTTTAGTACAAAAATGAAAGTATAACAAAATTTGTTGTCAATATTCATTCTACTACTTACGAGGTGGTTAAAGCATGCAGAGAAAAAAAAAAAACCTAAAATCATAAATAAATCAATCTAAAACTAAAATCAACACAAAAATTATTACATGGAGGCTGGGGTAAATGGTGACCAGCAAAAGGGTAAGGATAGG